AACACACCAACCAACCAAGCAACCAACCAACCAACCAAGCAAGCAAGCAAGCAAGGAAGCAAGGAAGCAAGGAAGCAAGGAAGCAAGGAAGCAAGGAAGCGAGGAAGCAAGGAAGCAAGCCTGCCACCCAGCCAGCCGGCCAGCGAGCCAGCCAGCCAGCAAGCACGAAGGAAGCACAAAAGCACAAAAGCACACAAGCACAAACACGCAAACACTCAAACACACACCTAGATTTCTCCCCAGGGAGAGGCGAATTCACATTGAAGCGCGTGTCTTTCGAGTCAACCACATGTGATGGCTTCCCTCTAGATTCGAAAACGTTACGAAGATCCAACATGAAGCACAGCAAGAGAAACAAGGGCCACAAGGGCGATTACAAAACTGGCAGGTGTGTCACCAGGCGTCCCTGGTACTATCCTCAAGTCACGGAGCGCTTTGTTGGATGGAGCTCCACAGGCCTGCTCCATCATTTTGCACAAGATCAGGAACTCCGCACAAACACAAACACAAACAAAACACAAACACACAAACACACAAACACAAGCACAAGCACAAGCACAAGCACAAACACAAACACACACACAAACACCAACACACAGACAAGCAATGAAACAAACAAAGAAACACACAAAGCAAATCAAACAATCAAACAAGCAAACAAACAAGCAAACAAACAAACAAACAGACAAACGGACGGACTAACAAACCGACAAGCAAACACACATAATAAACAAAGCAACCGCACCAGCTATTGGGTCCCGACTTGGGAATCTTTGGAATCAAGTTGTTGTGCCTTGGCTCATGGATCAAGAAGTGCTACCCAAATGGCCATGGGTCAAAAGGCCGTCCCCCCAGTGAACATCCCAATCCAACTACTAAAATAGCCTAAAATGGGCGGTGAATTCGCCTACCCCAAAATGGGATCCCATTGGTGTTGACCCACGGCCATCTGCCAAATGGGGGGGGTTCCCATCTACCCTCCACAACAACTGGGGACCCGTTCAAATACCAGTTCCCACCTGCTATGGCTTACCTGACAAAGAGTTCACCCGTAACATGACAGTCATCCCAATCCCCACTAAAATAGGTTCCAAAATGGGTGAAAAGCACCTACCCCAAAATGGGATCCCATTGGTTTTGACCCACAGTGAAATCAACAATCCTGGTGGGTCAATGAAAACAATTTGCGATCCGATCGCGGGGCCGGTGCCTGCAGTGGCCGTGGCCCAGTCTCCTCAACAGGCCGCTGGCCTTCTCCCGCAGAAAGATTTCCTCAGCCAGAGGCCAGGCGGCGATCGCGGCATCTAGACTGACGCACAAAAGGGCCGCGCGCGCGATTCTTGCAAGGGAGAAGATCGAAAATCCAAGTGAGAAACAGATTCCAAACGAGCAGCCTGCGATTAAACATGGCCATTCCATCAATCTCACGGCACAAAAATGCCATGTGCGCGATGCCTGCCCAAGCAAGCGAACGGTGCTGGAGAGACACACCCACCTGTAGTTGCAACCCAGGATTAACAACCCCCCCCAATTGGATGAGTAGGGTCCCGTGTCATTCGGCCATGGGTCAAAATCCCAAACCTCCAGTGAACATCCCAATCCCCACTAAAGACTAAAATGGGTGGTGCACCTACTCCGAAATGGTACCATTGGTTTTGACCCACAGCCATTTTACAGAGAGCATACTTTTGGAGGTCCACCCGCATTTCTCATCGGCGCCAACACACACCAACAAGGTGAATCAACGAATCACCAACACGACTCAACTCACAGTGTGGCATATTGCAAACCTGAGCATTTGACCAACATCCGTTTAATCATTGTGTGTGTTTTCTACTTGTGCAATTTCATGGTTTCTTAATTGAGTGGAACACCTTGAGACCATAACGCCACCGGATTTCACCAGGAAGTTAAACATGCACAGTCTTCAGCATGTAGATGTAACACGAACACACCAACACAGCGAAACATACATAGACTCACAGCTTTGTGGTGCTGTCCACTCAATCTGCACGCACCTTGAAGCTTCGCGTTTGTTGTCATGGCCTGCAGTGTCCACATTGAACTTCAGCAAACATGTTTTGGAATCGGTTTTGCAAAGCGCAGAGTTGATTTCCAAATGTCACCGAGTCACCTTGCAATGCACGGTGGCAAAATCCGTTTCGCACCACCGAAGAAAACCTGGAGTGATTCAATGCCCCTGTCAATACCAGCAAACAATGGTTCCACCCATGGCTTGACAGTGGTGCGAACGGATTCCGTCCATCCACAGCATCAATGGCGATCTGTGCAAAACATGGAAAACCTGCCTCACGCTGCAAAGCTCCGGCAGTTGCAGCCTCAAAACCTAGGCCTGGACTGGACTGAAATGCAATGGTGGTGTGTCACACCTGCTCTCAGACCCCTGTATATATACATATATATGGGTGTGGCTCAAAATTAAACAGGAGGGGTTACGAGGTTTCGGTCCATGTTTCCACTTACCAGGGTTCCATTTTGGTACCGGATTTTGGAGCCACAGCGTCTTGCTGCCTGAGCGTCAAGCCCTTGCAAACTAGTTGAATTCCTTCGTGAAAAGCTAGCCTTTCCAAACAAGCAAAAAAGGAGTGTGCTGCTAGAGCATGCTAGAGCAGGGTGCAGCCCGTGGATACTGGACATGCTTAGCAAGGAAATTAGGCTTCCCCAATGTGTCAATCATTTCCCATCCTGGTGTTGGCTATGTCCTGATTTCCCTCCTTCCGCGACAAGGTGGTTTCTAACTCTACTCCTGGCATGATTCCTGTACCAGTCACATTTCAACCAGATGCTCCCAAGCAATAATCGGGTGACATGTTGCTCTTTGAAAGAACAAAACGTCACAATCTAGAACATGTACTCGTTTCCCCACATGAGGGATTGAGGGCGCCTGAGTAGTGGAACATGTTATTCTTAACCTGGGGTTGGGCTCCGTACGCCTCACGGAAAAATGGTTCCCATCATCCGAATTGGTCTCAGACCAAAGTGGAAGCTGGAAGCTGGCTATTTACCAGCCAAAACGGCAAGAACAACTCTAGGCGTAGAACCACACAGGGGCTTGCAACCGGTTGACGTCACCCTCCATTCTGGGGTGTCATTTTGAGGCTACCCTTTTGTGTGGGCTTGCAAAAAGGGAAGGCAACAACCACCCGGCTTGTTTTTTGGGGGGATCCTAAAAGCAAGCACACGCCCGTGTTTACCCCTTTTGTGTGGCTTTTAAAGGGAAGCCAAGAGGAATGCCACTGGGGAGGGACGCAAACAAAAAAAGGCACAGACCCATTTTGGGAGTTTTCAAGCAACTTCCATTTGGTTAAGGCCCTAGGAAAACAAAGTCCAGTAGTGATGAATTCCTTTTAAAACCAACAAGGGGAAAAAATGTAATATTCATTTCAGCAAATGGAGGGCAAGGATCATCGCAGAGCTTCTTGGCAGAGATCTCGTCCATGAAGAGAGGTCCGCTGCTGCCCGTGTACTGGCGCCTGAACGCCCGCATCCGAACGCGGCCCATGCTCACGCCTTAAGTCTTTGCATCCCTTGGGTGTCTTCTTCCCCAAACAGCGAAGCATTGGGGTTCTAACTTGAGGTATAGAGAATGGGAAAGTGTGACGCCAGTTGCGGGGTCCTGTTTTCCGCTTGTCTTCCTGTCTCCCAGTCGATGCCAGATGCTGTAACGGTCGTGTCTCCCGCTTGTCTCCATGTGTTTCCCACTTGTCTCCCTGTGTCTCCCAGTCTCTGCGGTCAGACGCCAGATGCTGTGACGCTGGCTCCGGGGTCGTGTCTCCCGCGTGTATTCCTGTGTCTCGCAGTTTCTGCGATGCTGTGACGCTGGCTCCGGGGTCGTGTCTTGTCTCCCTGTGTCTCCCAGCTTCTGCAGTCAGAGGCCAGATGCTGTGACGCCGGCTCCCGGGGTTGTCTCCCGCTTGTCTCTCCTGTGTCTCCCAGTCTCTGCGGTCAGATGCCAGATGCTGTGACGCCGGCCCCACTTGTCTCCCTGTGTCTCCCAGTCTCGTCTTGTCTCGTCTCCCACCAGTGTCTGTGTCCTGCTTTCCCTGTCTCTGCGATGCTGTGACGCTGGCTCCGGGGTCGTGTCTCCCGCTTGTCTCCCTGTGTCTCGCAGTCTCTGCGATGCTGTGACGCTGGCTCCGGGGTCGTGTCTCCCGCTTGTCTCGGCTCCGGGGTCGTCTCCCGCTTGTCTGTCTCCGGGTCATATCTCCCACTTGTCTTGCTGTGTCTGGACGCCAGATGCTGCGTCGTGTCTCCCGCTTGTCGTTTGTCTCCCAGTCTCTGCGGTCGGATGCCAGACGCTGTGACGCTGGGGTTGTGTGTCTCTCCCCGTGTCTGGATGCCAGATGCTGTGACGCTGGCCCGAGGTCGTGTCTCCCGCTTGTCTCCCAGTGCCCGCTTCTCTCCTGTGTCTCCCAGTGTCTGCGGTCGGACGCCAGCCGCTGTGATGCCGGCTCCGTCTCCCGCTTGTCCTTTGTCTCCCAGATGCTGTGACGCTGGGCTCGGGGTGTGTCTCGCAGTCTCTGCGATGCTGTGACGCGGTGTCTCTCAGCTTCTGCGGAGGCCAGATGCTGTGACGCCGGCTCCGGGGTTGTGTGTCCCGCTTATTGTCTCTGCCAGACGCTGGCTCCGGGGTCGTGTCTCCCGCTTGTCTCCCTGTGTCTCGCAGTCTCTGCGATGCTGTGACGCTGGCTCCGGGTCGTGTCTCCCGCTTGTCTCCCTTTCTGCAATCAGAGCCCAAATCCTTTCACGCCGGCTCCTGGGTCGTGTCTCCCGCTTGTTTTCCTGTGTCTCCCAGTCTCTGCGATCAGATGCCAGATGCTGTGACGCCGCCGGCTTCGGGGTCTCCCGCTTGTCTCCCTGTACTCCCAGTCTCGTCTCCCTGTGTCTCCCAGTCTGTGCGGTCGGATGCCAGATGTGACGCTGGGTACGGGGTCTCCCGCTTGTCTCTCTGTGTCTGGATGCCAGATGCTGTGACGCTGGCTCCGGGGTCGTGTCTCCCGCTTGTCGCTTGTCTGTGACGCTGCCTCCGGGGTCGTGTCTCCCGCTTGTCTCCCTGTGTCTCCCATCTCCCGCTTGTCTCCTTCAGATGCTGTGATGCTGGCTGCGGGGTCGTGTCTTGCGCTTGTCTCCCAGATGCTGACGCTGGCTCCGGGCAAAACCAACTGAAGCTGCTTCTTCTTTGCGAGTGTTGGGGCTGACCTTGCTTGCTGCCAGCTGGCTGTTTTTAATGCTTACATCCCTCAACCAAAAAAATGAAGGTCCCGGGCCCCGGGCAAAACTAATTGAAGCTGCTTCTTCTTTGTGAGTTTTTGAGGCTGACCTGGCTTGCTTGGCATCCAGTAACCGGCGTTCGGCTCCCTTCGGCTCCTTTCGGCTCACGTGGCATTAGCGCGCAAGCGCAATTGAGAAGCATCAAAAGCAGTCCAGTTAGAAGCATAGATTCGAAGTGAGAAGGAACGACTTGCGAAAATGAATAGCAGTGGGGAAAGGGCATGTCGCAGATTGTGCTGTTAGCCTGTGTGCAAAGGATGTACCTCTCTCTTGGTCAAGAGCAGGTTTGCATCCTTGTGGAGCATCGTTGGAGCTAGAAGCAAGCAATGTTGAGCTTTGAATATGTCTATTTTTCTCGGTAAACAAACAAATCGTGACATTTGGCTGATGGCTTTGCTCAGGAAACTGAGCTGCTTTTTAGAAGCCAGTGCCGCACTTCTTGGCCACGTGCAGGTTTGCATCCTTCCTGTCAAGCCCTAAATATGTCTATGTTTCTCAAGCGAAAATATACTGTGACATCCGGCTGATTGCTTTGCTCGGGACACTGAGCTGCTTTTTGGAAGCCAGTGCCGCACTTTTTGGTCAAGTGCAGGTTTGCATCCTTGTGGCGCATTAGCAGAGCCCTTGTCGAGCCTTAAATATGTAGACTGTTTTCGATAGACCAATACCGTGACATCCGGCTGATACTGAGCTGCTCTGTGGAAGCCAGCGCCGCACTTCTTGGTCAGCTGCAGGTTTGCATCCTTGTGGCGCATCAGCAGAGTGCTTTGCTCAGGATTCTGAGCTGCTTTTCGGAAGCCAGTGCTTCTGGCGCATCAGCAGAGCCCCCTTGAATATGTACTGTTGTTCTCGATAAACAAATACCGTGACATCCGCATCCTTGTGGCACATCAGCAGAGCCCTGTCGAGCCTTTAATGTGTCTGTTTTCTCGATGAACAAATATTGTGGGACATCCGGCTAGGATACTGGGCTGCTTTTGGAAGCCAGTGCCGCGCTTCTTGGCCAAGTGCAGGTTAGCATCGACCGCGGAGACACACTTAGCGCTGTCGGACTTCTGGCGGGGACACGGTGTAAAAAGCGGTTTCTTGACATGTTTTCCTGTTGGCATTTTTCCGGCTGACATCTTCTAACAAGAAAGCATTCGTGGAGTTGACCAGACTGGGCTGGCATTTGCGAGTGCTGGCCATGAATGCAGGTGCGCAGGTGGACAAGTGGCAGACAATTGAGGGTTTCCGGCTAAACACAAAGCATTTAGCTTGGACTTTTGCAGCGCTGTGATGGTGAGGGTGGATGAGGAGGATTCTGTTGATTCTGTGGCTGATGAAGGTGGTGACGATGATGATGATGATGATGGCGATGAGGGTCAGGATGACGAGGATGAGGAGGATGATGAGGAGAAGGAGGGTGATGATGAGTGTGATGGTGATGAGCCACAGAGAAGTTGACGGTTTCGTTGACAGTTTTGCTCTGAGTCAACAAGCCCTTGGAATGGAGAAGGGGCACGGCTCCACTAAGCATTTTACCAGCGAAGCAACAAGAGGGCTTGCGCGGGCCAGCCACCATCTTAGCCAAAATCGTATGAAGCGGGGGGAGGGGGGCTCTAGGCAACAGCGCTGCAGGAAAGACCTCCAGCGGATGACACCAGCAAGTTGCGCAAGCAAAATGCCACTAGCAAAATGGCGCAAGCCAGTAGCAGCTCAGACAACTTGCTCATTGAAACTTGTTCAGAGAAACTTGCTCTGAGAACTTGCTCAGATAGTTTGTGCCAAGAACTTGCTTGGAGAACTTGCTCAAAGGAACTCGCGCCAACAACTTGCTCAGAGGAACTTGCGCAGAGAACTTGCTAGGATTACTTTGTGCCGTGCACTGCTCATGCTTTCGGGCCACCCATCTTCTAGTTTTCTCTTGGTAGCATCACTGTTGTTCGAGCACCCTTTCTTGTTGGCAGTGCTGTTGTAAACCTCGCCTCCTATCTTGTTGCCAGTAGTTAGCACCTTCTCAGTTGGATAGCCATGTGGCCTGGCCAAAATCATATCCAGTCTTTCGCTAGCTGGTCCTGCGACGTTTTTCCCTCTTTGCAACCTATGTACTCCAGTCCCACTGACAAACGCATTTTGCTGAAGCATTGCACACATTTGTGATGCCAAGCTCGCGGCTTGACGTATCTCGTTGCCTCCTGACAGAGGGGTTGAAGACAGATTTCCCATCCTTGTTTTCCACATATTCTGCAATATGGACGCTGCTGTTTTGCACGTCTCCGAAAGTGCTCAGGGCTTGCAAGTGCGAGAGGGCTAAAGGGCTTTCATGGGGACGTCGTAAGGTGCCATTATCATTCTCTGAGGCGCTAGCTTCCCTGCAGTCTCTGGACCCATGGAACACCAAAACGGTTCAACGTGAGCTGTACTGCATGGCGCTTGTGCTAGCCTCACGCAGTGAGTATTTTTGGAACTCCGAGCAATTCCATTCTCGCAATCCACGTTCTTTTCCGAGATCTCGACTTGAATTTGGCAGCTCCGGGCGAGATGCTGATTTACTTGCTCGCAGCATACGTGGCTTGTCGGGAAACCAAGCTGGAGGGATGTGCTGATAGCATCAAGACCATCGCTCACCGAAGCAACACGTGCTAAAGACACGGCCCCTCCAGTTCTTCTTTGACGACACAGCTTTGCCTCCACTACGCCTTGAACATCGATTCCGACCCGTTCTCGCACAAGGTTTCGGTGCTGCTGGACACACTGCGTGCGTGGCGAACTCCCCAGCAACTATTTCGGAATGGTGGCTCTGGTTCTCAATGTGGTAATTGCAACACACGGTCATGGCCATGTTTCGACACATGTTCGGTGGCTGTATAATCTAATAAGAGTTGCTAACGCCGCAGTCTGCAAGTTTATGCAAGTTCTCTCTTGCTTTGCTTGTGGCAAGACCTTTAGCCGAGCTTCAGAAGAAGATAGCAACCAGAAGTGGCATGTGCCCAGCCTCGGCCGCAAGCTGCTGAGACTGATGCGCAAGTTTCAGCAGAGTAGCGAGACGGCCACCAACTGCTGCGGTGATGGAAAAGTGCATTGAGTGTCCGTGCTACGGAAGTTCCTTCGAAACTTCCTTTGATTAATGCCAGGTGTTGGGTTGATTCACCCCGAATCCCTGAAGCCTTCACTCTCGAACATGGCATTGACATGGCATTTTCCTCCTCAAAGTCGATGAACAACATCGATGCTTTTAACCGGCGTCAAGGAGATAGATGGACCCGATGTGTCCTCTTCCCAAAAAAGGGGACTTCCTACATGGACACACATAGACTGATTGTAACTATGTGTTGCTCACATAAGCTACTCAATTTCGCACCTTACATGAAGGAGACAAGCCTTTTTTGGGTTATGCAGACCTGTCATGTTTTTTTGCTGTTTGGGGTCGAGGCTGGTGTAATTAAGCACAGACCCCCTAAAATGGCTGCGGTTTCCCTTTTGGCGTTTCGTTTACCACACCCAAAAAACGGGTACCCGCACAAAAGATGGACAGCTCAGAAGCGTGCTCTATAATTACAAAAAAGGTTGGTGTCATTGAAAACAGCACCCTTTTGAAAACCGGCGCCAAGTTGTGTGACAGGACGCACATCGCAAATCTAGGGGTTGATTTCCCACGGTGTTTTGTAGTTTTCTAGAAAGAAGGATCCCTGGAAAGAATGGGGAAGCTACCCTTAGAACAAAGGCTTCACCAAGGCTGGTCTGTGCCACTCCTGAGCTGTCAAATCCACGGCAGTATCCCACTCCATCAGGGCCCTCGATTTGTTTTCAAAGTCCTCTGAAGCTGCGAAGGACGATCGACACAGTCTAGCTTGCTTCCATTTGCTTAAGCCCCCCAGCAAAAAATAAATAGCGATACATTCCCTTTAAACTACCAGGGGAAACTAAACATCTTCTTGAAGCTCAGAGGGCATCTGCAATTGCGTACTTTCATTTAGTCGACGAGATTCGACCATGGTCATGACAACCCGAAAAATTATGCAATTCACCAACCTCAAATCCTCATTCACCCCACGCAACAATGTGGCATTGTCATTTCAAGTGATGCAGCCAACAGGCAACTGATCAGTGTTGTTCTTGATTGTCGCCCGGAAAAGTGGCAAAGAGTGGCTTTCCCGCTAGTTTGTCTGACTCTGACAGTTCACTGCACTGATTCATCCTTCACGCAGTTGCCTTTGCCTCTTCCGTGACGCTTGGAAGAGCTAAAGCTGGCCCCTTCTTAGATCCTGTGCCCAACAACTCGCAAATGTAAGACCTCCAAGAAAGGACGCCATGCTGTCAAAGCGTGGGCCTTGCCCCTTGCCCCCTTTCCACCCCGCCCCCCCAACACCAACAAAAACCAGACCAGCCCGTACCTTGTTCAAAGCACAAAAAAGAACCTACATGCCCAACGCTTGCACGAAGGGGTCCCTTACCCGCGAAAAAAACTTTTGAAAGCGCCCTGCCTGGTGTGGTACATGAGACTGACCAGCTCAAACGCTGGGGAGTAGTCCTCCGCTTTGGTGGGCATCTCCTTCGGATCACCTCGAGGCCATCTCTCACGCGAGTGGCCCCAAAGGGACGATCGAGTCGGTCATGTGGCTGTGGGTCAAGAACAGGTACCAAATCTTATCCCTTAAAACTCCAAGCATTGGGGAAGTTAATCTTTTAGAGACATATAGCCCATGTTACCCAAAAAGTTGAAAAGTTGTGTTTTTAAGAGGTAAGAAATGGAAGCCCGGTAAATCGAAAGGACCCATACCCATGTCAGGGAAGTGGTTGGCACTCTGCAGGTCAGCAGCAGGTCCGTTTGAGAAAATTGTGAAGAGCATGGTCTTCCCGGGGTCCTACTTCAAGGGGTAGGGTACTTAGGAAGTGCTTAGTAAGCCTGGTGAAATAGCCCACAAAAGCCAGAGTTTTTCAGTCTCCGTTCAGTGGGCTATCTCATCAGGGTTACTCTGACCACCTACCTAACGTACCGAATCGATCGCCCATTCAAGTCAGCGGGTTCGGGCACAGGCAAGAAATGCCAGAAATTGTGACACACACACACACACACAGAGCAGCGGACTGCACAGAGGTTGCACAACAGCCTCATCACAAGATGCAGTGCACACTTTGCATCCTGTCATTCAACTTTGCAGCCCCCGCCAAACATATATATATATATATATATACATATAATCAATTCCACACCCACCTCGGAAAACTTTCCAAACGACACAAAGTCGATTCCGTTAGAGGATAAGCTGAAGCATTTCTTTCTTCCACATACAATCTTTCAATGTGCACAATTTCCCCTCAGAGAAACTAGGTCCTCAGACTAAGGGTACCCTTTTTTCTGTAGTCTCCTTTAGTAGGGGACTACTGGGGGACCTAGGAAAGACAAGGTTTCGGCCGCGCATGCTTGCCGCGGTTCAGCTGAATTCGCGCCCGGATCGATCTCGCCATGAGAGATCCGGGGTGCGGGAAATGGAATTTATTTTTGTGGCTAACAAAAAGGGCTTCCCAAAGACGAACCCCCGAAGAAAGAGGGGGAGATGTCCCACAGAAGTGGTTGGATCAACCCCTTGTGATCCCAAAGCCCTGTGAGAGATTGATCAAAACCACTAGCTGGCCTGATTCCCGTGAGTGTAGACGTGGGGCTGTTTTCCTTTTGATCCACCTGATTCTGATGATCTGCGGGGTTGTGCAATGCTGTAGAGGCGTGCAGTGAGGCATCCTGAAACATGCGACTCATGTCCTGCTTCGACACGGCCCGTCCGAGGCCCAAAGCCCCGATGTGTTCTTCGCAAAAGGACGCAAAACAAGACTGGAACCCCAGCCCCGGTTTCTTGATGCATTTCTTGACGCATGAACTTTACGGGGCCCGAATGAATTGGGGCCCGGCTTCATGGTGTTTTCACGTTGGATCAAGAAATGTGGAGCAACTCGAAGAAAGGATGGGGCAGTCTTCAGCCGCAACGCCACATCCAATCTTGCCTACCCAATAGACCGGATAAGTCAAAAAACTGCCTATTCGACAAATTTGCGGATTTGGTTTATTGGGTAGGTCCTCCAGTAGAGGTTAGAATAAGTTGGTACCGCTTCTTTTTTTTGGAGTCGATTTTAGTAGGGGGGTTTCCTCCGCCAAAAATGGGTGAGAAAGGGCACTGGGGGACCTAGTTGACGAACCTCGGCAGCAACCTTTGCTCGGCCTTCCATCCATCTGCCTGTGAACTAAGCTCACCAAACCCTGCCACCCAGTCCTCAACCCTTCAGCTGAGATGCAGAGTCGAACTGCGCTCCAAGGGATGTAGCCCTGGAAGGGGAAGCAAATCTCAGCAAAGCCTGGCAACGGCATGAGTTGCTTCCCCAAAACTCAGCGTGGGAAAGCCATGATGGCTGAAGTCAGATGTCCGATCTTCAAAAAGTCAGCAGCACCTATGAACCTGGATTGCCATCGATTGCCATGTTGCCTAGGTCCTCCAGTAGTAAGGGTACCAACCTTTTTTTTCTGTAGTCTATTTTAGGAGGGGAACCCACCTAGCTGGGCGACCTAGTTAGCTCCAGGCCCCGCGCAGAGCAAATACTGTCGCCTTCCTAGCTACGCCGCTACAGCTTTTGACACAAGCTTGACGATATGTTTTTTTGGTGGCTGCTTGTCGTTGGCATGGTGAAGGTCGCTGGCCAACTTTGGGATTTCTTGTCTGATGTTGGTGGCTTAAGGCTTAGCAGCTGTCAATTGTCACTACTCTGGGCTGCCCTCAGATCCCTCGCTAAAAGTTAGATTTTTAGTGGGTTAAATGGAAATCCCCACTAAACACTAAAAAGCTAAAAGCTAAGGGGATGACTGGGACCCCCCAAGTACTGCAACATATCTTCTGAAACATAACACCCTGTGGCGATCGCACCAGCCCTGACAGCTCCAACAAGCAACGGCGGCAAATCAGACCTAAGTCCTCCAGCAGAGAGGTTAGAATAAGGGTACCGTTTCTTTTTTCTGTAGTCTATTTTAGTAGGGGAACCCTTCCCCAAAAAAGGTAAAAGGGCACAACTGGGGGACCCAGAGACTGTTTTGGCAACCAAATCCTCAACATGTTGACTTGCACTTAACCCACTCGAAGAAGGACCGCCGCTGCTACCAACAAACACAGTGTATTACAACAGCACGGGGTGCGACTTGACCGCGAATAACATGTCATAAAGCCATGCCAAGTGAAGACCAG